TGGATAATATTGCGGCAAGAAGTAATTGTTAAGGTAGTCATTGCTACCAATATTCACAGTGTACAAGCACTTGTTCAAGTAGTTTGAAACTGGATCAAAAACCATAAATTGGAGCCTTAAGATGGTCATCATATAATTTTGTATTTGTCGATCCAACCATATCCGATCACCCTGTGATAAAATTTTATGATTAATACTAATGATTATATTTACATACAGGCTTATGTCACGTACATATTTAGTTAGTACTAGTACGAATTTATTGATGAACTATTTCCTAGTTTGTCATATATACTTGAGATCAGTTTGTGGCCAGTTGTTAATAGTATGATTTTTTTTTTTAAATTTATTTATTTATTTATTTATTTTTGAGAAGCAAGTTACTTCGTATTATAGTACAATGTCATTGTCAATTTAGGAAAAAATGTATGTATTATAGAAGTAGAAATTACGATCATACCAATTGTGCTCCAGTTTCCATGAGAATTCCACCAGAACCAGATGCAAAATTGACACCTCTCAAAATATCTTGACCCATTAGATCTTTATAGGGAGCTATAGTCTTGTCGAATCCCAGATATGTAGCTGTAAATTTAACAAATTTGAATATACTATTAAGCAAATTACAATACAAAATTGCAAAAATAAATAAAGTGTATCTATTAATAGAACAAAATATTACATATTACTAAATCTAAAAGAGGAATACCCAGTTAATTCCCCACATAAACCACCATTCAAGTATATATATCCAGGAAGTCTATGATTAACAACTAGCATATCCATGACTAGAGCTGGCCGGTATGGGTCGGGTCGATCTACGGACGACAAGGGCACGACACGATAGCGGCCTGACATGGTACTAAAAATGAGGGGCGGGCCATGGGCCGCGCCGTAAACAAAAAATTAAAAATTCGACACAAACTCAGCATGAGCCCTCAGGCGGCACAAACTTTTAGCACGCAAGCACGACCCATAATAATAAAAATAATTATAAATAAATATAAATAATTAAAATAAAAACAATTAAAAGAAATATTATAAAATTAAAATAATAAAAAGAACCATAATAATATAAAAAACTATAACTAATAAAAAATAAAAATAATTTAGATGTTAAAATTAATTAATTAATAATAAAATTAATTAATTAATAATAAAATATTTGATTTATAATAAAAAAAAATATATAATGGGTTAGCCCGTGGCCTGGCATGACCTGGCTCGCTAGACACACGTGGGTCATGCTGTGAAGTGGGGTGTGCCATTTAGTGGCATGTGCCACCATCACCCAGGCCCAGAACGATACGGTAGGACTTACTGATCGGGACGACCCGAGATGGCCGGCACGATGTCTAGCACTAGCCATGACCAAGCCCGTATGTTATAGGTCCAAAACTTTAGTTACACATAGCACACATAAGTTAATAGACACATCAAAGCCATCATTTTCTTTTTATATGGCGATGATTCCCAGTCTTATATCCACGGCATTGGCAGTACACACAACATATACAATTCATCCAATGTATTTTGTGTATTCTTTACATTATTGCATACTATAGCTAGTACTAATATAATGAATGTATGAACTTTTATATAGGTATAACAAAACCTGCCAAAGCTAAAAGAAAATATTGTTGAAGTATTGTGAGAAAATTAAAATATATTTGTCAAAAGAATTATAAGCCAGTGATTAGAATTTTGAGCTATAAATTCTTTAATATACTTGGTATTTTATTTATGATCATCCCTATCGAATTGATTTTTCAATTTTTCAAAGGACGGATCAATGAGGTAAACTTTTTTGGTAATTGATGAAATGAGGTATACTTACATATATAATCCTCAATAGTCCGATTATTGGTAAACCTGCCAGTTGGTACACCGCCAGGAAAATCAACCCCATACGGAGGGTAATTTGCTTTAACCATTGTCCTGAGGTTATTGTTGTTTCCAACATCGGACAACGAGTCCCCAAAAATGAAGTAACATGGCACTTTTGGTTCACCCTTAACCAAAACCCCGCAAACCAGAAAAATAACAAAAATTATAATTCGTAACATTTTGGGAATTGATTGCGTGAGAAGTTAGTCTTACAACTTTGTGATACTGAAGATGAGATTAGTGGTGTTGGATTCATGGATTGCATGTTGCTACCATACTTATAGAGTTAAAGCACGTGATTATGATAAGGAAACCCATGCAACGTACGTCATTTCAAAATGTTTAAGTTTGTTTAAAAAAAATCAATTATTAAAGGATTAAGACTAGTTGATGCCCATTTTATTGAATAATTTAGTTGATAGTTGGTCTTATCATCTGTTAAATGACGTGTGATTCTGTTAGATGATTTGACCCGTTAATCGGATACATACGCTACTACAGAGAAGCATTTTAAGATATTTTTTGTGATTTTCCATGTTGATTGATAGAATATATGATAAGATATTCTATCATTGATAAAAAATTATCAATCAAGTTAATCAAGTGGAGTGTGTTCATTGTAGTCGCTAGAACGTCAAGTACGACCATATAAAAGTTGCAAACTTAAATTTATAGTAGGGTGCATTTGATTTTTATTAAATATTTAACAATTATTGATCCAATAAATTTTTGTAGAATACACTCTTAGAGTTTTGAAATAGAGTACTAATTTATGATAATCTTGACCCACTATTATCATAAACTGATCTTCTTCAAAACATGCAAATATATACTTCATCCCGTTCCAATAATATCACAACAAGGATGAAATTACGCATCTCAAAATACATTTTATATATTAAATGTTTATAATTGTGTAAGTACAAATTTTTGTATGCGGCTGGGGTTATTTGTAGAATGTTACTGGTTTTGTCAGCGGTTACTTGTAGGGTGTTACTTATTTTGTCAGGGGTTATTTGTAGGGGTTACTTGTATTATGGGGTTACTTGTATGAGTGTTACTGGTTTTGTCAGGGGTTACTTGTATTCTGGGGTTACTTGTATGGGTGTTACTAGATTTGGTCAGGGGTTACATGTAGCGTGTTACTGGTTTTGTATGATGGAGTTTTGGTCTAATGTTACTTGTAGGAGTTACTCAGAATACAAGTAACACCTACAAGTAACCCCACGATACAAGTAACCCATACAAGTAACCTCATAATACAATTAACCCATATAAGTAACACTAGTGGAAAAAAGTTATCTGTAACGGGCAAAAAGGGCCCATCCGTAACGGACAGCGTCCGTTACGTACACGGCCGTTACGGATGGCCATTATTATTCGTAACGGGCACCGTCTGTTACGAATAACTACTTATTCGTAACGGGCACTTACAATGTCCGTTACGAATAAGTAGTTATTCGTAACAGGCGTTTTAGGTGCCCGTTACGAATAAGTAGATATTCTTAACAGGCGTTTAAGGTGCCCGTTACGAATAAGTAGATATTCTTAACAGGCGTTTAAGGTGCTCGTTACGAATAACTACTTATTCGTAACGGGCGTTTCTAGTGCCCGTTAAGAATAACTACTTATTCGTAACGGGCGTTTCTAGTGCCCGTTAAGAATAACTACTTATTTGTAACGGGCGTTTCAGGTGCCCGTTACGAATAACTACTTATTCGTAACGGGCAATTACAATGTCCGTTACAAATAATCTCCGATTAAGACAAAAATTCAGGGGCATTTGTAACTAGTATTTCAGGTGCTAGGTACAAATACCCCTATTCTTCTTTCCATTTACCACCTAAATTATTACATTCTAAAAGACTTATTATTCCTTGACAAACAACAATACTAATAACACCTGCATATTTGCAGTAAAATATCATGTAAATGCTAGACAAATCCTGTATTACACACTGTACTACTACTTGTTTTTTATACTCTCCTATATACACTTATGACTTCGTGTTAAAATTCTCAGCAAATTTCATCTGACATCATTAGAACAGTTGCATCTGCATTCTCTTGTCAGCATTCTCTTCCTCACCTTGTTTTTCATCTGCATCAGTTGCAGATAACATATCCCCTGCAGCTGTATTGACCGTCTCTCGGACTCATCACCAGTATTGATATTCACTGAGGTCGAACTAGGAAAATTATGCATGACAGAGGAAGATGGTGGTAAAACTAACTCACCACTCTCATGATCAGACTCCATAATAATAATGCATGACCCAGCACAAGCCTTCTGTGTACTTCAAGACCTAAAACCAAAACAATATTAATCTAATAGTCTGGATAAACTGAAACAGTAAACAAAACACACTATTAGAGAAAGACTTCTACATAACACCACATAAAAATTATCTGGTCACAGCCCATGTAAAGAACTAAAGAAGGCATCTTGATAAATATTCTCCTCTCCTTCACAAGTATATTATCTTTTATAATCCATATAAAACTCTAGTGTATACTCAATTTACAAAAGAGTGTCAATGTTCCAACTTTGGCCATTAGGAACAAAACAGCATTATACACTCTTATCAATTAATCAAAGCCTTAATACCATACATTATACGTGTATATATTAAAAGTAACTGAGCAACAACTTCATGACATCCATAAAGAGCATCAGCCTTCAATCCCACCCACTAACAGAACTAATTTTTATTCAACATTGTTTCGATTTCAACCTCCTAATACATAACACTACTACAAAAAAGGGTTTATAGAACGGTTTAAAGAGGCTTTATAGAACGCTTGAGGACCGTTGTCCTGCTAAGCGATGTGTAAAGTATATAGAACGGTTCATGTAGGCCACCTGTATACTCAACTATAGAGAACGGTCATCTAACACAAACGTTCTCTATTTCCTAACTAAAATCACAAAATAAAGAAGGAATAAAGAACGGTTAGGCTACATAACCGTTGTATACTTACATTAGTAAAGAGAACGGTCAAGAATGATAACAATTCTCTAATCCTTCTTTTTAAAAAAAAAAAAAAAACTAATATACAGTATTTGTATATACAAATACCGTATTTTAATTTCTTGCTTAAATAATAAGGAATTAAAATGAAATTACGATATTTTAAATCAGATCATTCAAAATCACTAACAAAAACAAACAAGGTGTATTATACAACAATTCATACTCTCCGTATGATAAAACAAATGAAAACTCAAGTACAATTATAGTTCAAAAAAGCTGAAGAATAAAAGATTGCATTTATGGATTCCATGAAGCTTTTTTATCCTTTCTCCTATTGTCCTATGTGATTAATCTGTAGAAAGAACAAAAAAAAACATAAAATGTATTAGAGGCACTATTAAAAAAAAAGATAGTACATTTTTAATTCCCGAAGATTATTACTAGGAACCCAACACATATTAACTATTTTCATCTCATTACCAAACAGGTGCAGCAAAAAAAAAAAAAAAAAAAAAAAAAAAAAAAAAAAAAAAAAAAAAAAAAAAACATTCAAGGCATTTCCAAAAAATATAAGTTAAATTAATCATTATGTTCTTCAAAAAAATTGTAGAAGCATCGAACCTATAATTAAACGAAACAACTGACACATCGATTAAAAAAATTCTCCATATCATAAGCTTACAAAATTATATAAATCAATATTAAAAAAAATTAAAAGATTAACAACAAACCTTGAATATGAGTCACCGACCCAATTTTGGGTGGTCGCCGGCACGTAACGGTGTCGAATGTACTTCAGATATTTCAAACATCTACAAAATGTAAAGACAAAAACTTTGCATCGATTGATAATCTTCAACCAAAACGATCTAATAATGACTGTAAAATCCGTAAATTGTGAAAAAAATTTAAATTTAAAAGAACTGAAGGCTCATGATTTGATGAATTTATCTCATAGAAGAGTAGAAGAAATTTAGAAAAAAAAAAAGAATTCAACAGTAGAAAGTCTCGAATATAGCTGACGATAACTTGATAGAAACACTTAAAAAAAAATTGCCTTTAAACTTAAGAGAAAGGAAGGTGATTTAGTGATAACAAACAAGGTGTATAAACGGCGGCTAGCAAAATAAACATAGGTGGAGTTAGGTTTTTGTTTCTTTTTCATTTTTGTTTTGCACGAAGTAGGTTTTTGTTTCTAAGGATACAGAACGGTTCTATATCTTCTGAAATATATTAATTGTGTTTTTTTTTTTGTGGGTTAAAATAATATAGAACGGGTAATAAGCTAACCGATCTATATTCTTTCATTTATAAAACACCTATAAGTGAAAACCGTTCTATTAAATTTTATAAAACGCTTAAGCAAGTTGACCGTTCTCTATCTTGCGTTTCTTATTCCACTTTTTGTAATAGTGTAAACTAGGTGCTCATGTGCTTCAACAATGAGCCCACTAGTAATGATCAAGGTCCCAAATATTGCTCAAATCTAGCTAGTTTACTTGTCACCGTAAGAAAGGGCACGTCACAGATTCAGCTATTCCTACCAGCATAGAGTCAACAAACTAAATAGATTAAAAAAAATGAAAAAGAGATTTACCAGTTTTAAGCTTTCAATATAACAACTTTATAAGTATAAAATATATAATTAAAATAAATAACTAAATAAAAGCCTTGTTCGTTCTAGCCTATATCTTTTCCCTTGTGTGAGAATCGTTAGAGTGTAAAAATCAATCTTGAATTGCACTTTTTTGCCAAGATACCAACATAAAAGTATTTAGAAGCTATCAAGAACATACATAGCTTAGGATGCAGAACTCAGGGATATCTTAAAGCTACGGGAAATGCATAAATTTGATGAATGAATTACACAGAGAAATACAAAAGGATGAGTACTGACCGACTGTGGAAAACTGCAGCGTAGAACCAACAATTCATTGCCAAGATACCATAGATATGCCACAATCCAGAATATTCATAATATGTCTTCCGCTTATCCGTCAAAGGCAACTTGTAATAAACAAGAATAAAGAATGACATCCAACCGTGAGTTTTTTTTTTTTTTTTTTCCTGACAGCCCTTACAAGGAAATACAAATGACTTCACATTACAAAAATGAGATAGATCTGCAGACATTTAGAAGCACATACAAAGATAGCAAGAGATAATATAAAAAGAGGCCAACATAAACCAAATTGATATAGATCTCTAGAAGAATAGTTTGATGTAAACCAAATTGCTTTTTAGCTACCACAATTGTCACATTAACGACCACATACTCCAGACTTAGATAGGTGAATACATTCATTTAAGTAAAGCTTTTGGCTTTAGCCTTTAGGTCATTAAAAACCAGATTGAAATGTCATAATCATTAAATCTAGACATATATACAAGCCCTAGTTAGCATCAAGGCAAAATTAAACAACAGTAGCATACTCATTGCATTGTCAGTAATGGGTCGAATAAGAGCCATGTTGTACTCGTAACATAATGAATGGCTCAAGTAATGACACTGTAGAAGTATTAAGGTAAGTTTGAGGGTAGTACAACTCCAATGATGGAACAGAACAAGGAGATTTGCAAAGAATACCAGAAGAAAACCACATTAACCGTCCGTCACTCTCCTCATTTAACAGTTAACACATAGTAGATTTCAAGTGCTTTCAGTTGGACGGTTTCTTTCAAAAAATACAGTATGAATTGGGGACAGGGGGGTTTCTATTGTTGATAGTACATACTATCTAACTTACATTGACAACACAAGATGGTTATCATTGCACCATGTAATTGGTTTACCAACAAAACAGAAACTAGTTTCAGAACCTCAAAGCCACGATAGGCCATAGAAATGTTACAAAGATAATAAAGAAAACAAAAGAAATTCGTTCTAGTATCCCTAAATAAAAAGTAATAAAAAGAATATGATCCTTTTTCCTCCTAATACACATATTAGCATCTATATATCCATAGCATACCTTCAAAAATAGTCAAAAGTCAGACCATAAATCACTGATGGGCATACATATCATTTCCAAGATACCATTAGTCACTATAGAATTGTAAATTATCAATCTATGTGAAAGTAACACGCATTATAATACACTTATCATAAAATTATGCATAAAAAAGAATATTAATCTGACAAACTAACAATAATTCCACAAATTAAATTAAAATAATAATAAGAACAGTAATTAAACAAAAATAATCCATTTTTACCTTGAGACTCTCAACAACACCATGAACAATCTCATGCTCTAAACCAGCATACTCTCCTCCAGAATTCTCTCTAATAACAACAATATCAACATTATCATGTCTAGTTTGAATACCTTTGACATTAAAACAATGAACTAATGAAGCGTAAAGATCAAGCTCCTTTCTCAGATGAACATTCAACGAACTAACCCCACCACCGACAGGTGTCATCAACCCACCTTTGATACAAACCTTATTCTCTCGAATTGATTCAAGAACACCTTCTGGAATCTTCTTCATATCACCATGAACCTCGTACTTGTCGAACACGATTGGCGCATGCATTGCATCCATAACTTGTTCGACTGTGCCCGTAACAAAAAAAGAAATTGATCAAATCTAAACAAAAATAGGAAAAGTTACAGACTTCATAGCAAATAATCACTCAAAATTATCATATCAACACAAAAAAACAAGCAAAAACTAGCAAAAAAAAAACAGCAAAATTCGACTATTAACCCCAATTTGACGAAGAAACTGAATTCACAAAATCGATTGAACATACAAAAACAAAATTGACAACTGACAGTACAATCGAAACACTAATCCAGAAAAAATAACGCATAAATGAAGATCTTACTTCTTCCCATGGCGGCAAAACTTGAAGAAAAGCTGAGCTCCAAAAATCGAAAACCCTAAGAAGGGGAACAAGAAGAAGGGGAAATTAAAAGTTAGGGTTTACTTTGAAATCACTCTCCTGATAAATCAAATTCAACAAATCAAAAAACCCTAATTTCAAATTGAATATGAACAATGGAAAAGAGAGAGGAGATTACAATTTTGGAGCGGCAGGGTTTGCCGCAGGAAGAGCAGACGAGATTAAGAACAAGCTTAGTAGACTTAGAGAAATTGGAGTGAGAAGTGAGCTCCGCATGTTGTTGATCTTCTTCTACGGATTTCAGAAGAGCTCCACAATCTCCGCACTGCAACGATACGCCTGACATCCTCGATTCTCAATAGAGAGAGAAAAAACGGAGCTTGAGGTGATAACCGAGTTGCTTCAATGGAGTTGAGGGATCTGAGGACGACGACCGAGCTACTTCAACATTGGATAGAGAAAGGGGAAATAATATTTTGAGAGAAAGAGTGAGAAAGGGGAAATTAAAAGTTAGGGTTTACTTTGAAACTATTCGTAACGGGCAAGGTTGGTTGGTTACGACTAGTTGGTTATTTGTAACGGGCAAAATTTGTTGGTTACGACTAGTTGGTTATTCGTAACGTGCAAGACTTGTTGGTTACGACTAGTTGATTATTCGTAACGGGAAGACTTGTGGGTTACGACTAGTTAGTTATTCGTAACGGACATTGAATTTTCCCGTTACAAATGATGTAATTGTAACGGAAAATCATATGCCCGTTACAAATAGCTTGTTACAAATAAGATTTTTTCCATTAGTGTAACCCCAGATACAAGTAACTCATACAAGTAACCCTAGAATACAAGTAACACCCTACAAGTAACCCCTGCCACATCTTGTGGCTTTCCGCACTGAAAAACCTCTGTTGTGTAAGAGTTAAATTATAAAAAGTTGATCTTATGAAAGTATTTTATGAGACAGATTTAACAACATCCCACATGATTATATTTTACTTAATGTCATAATTGCTTTGCCTTCATTCATGGCTCTTGGCCGAAATATAATTAATGGAGTACAAGATAATTATGGCAAGAATATTATCTAGTTTACATAAAATTATCTTTTCCAATTATGTATCCTAACCAATCATATCAAATTATATCAAATCTTTCCCATATATTGTAACATGCACCACCCCCCTCTCAAGGTTGAAGCATGGTGATGATCGGAAAATGCCCAACTTGGACAATAGAAAATCAAATTGTCGCTTGTCAAGTGCCTTCGTAAAAATATCTGCCAAATGGGAATTTTGTAGGAACATATGAAGGAGCAATAATGCCATAAGTAATGGCTTCTCTCACAAAATGACAGTCAACCTCGATGTGCTTGATTCTTTCATGAGAAACCGAATTTTTAGCAATTTTCAAAGCTAACTGACTATCACAAAACAATGGTATGGCTTTGTGATGATGCACTCCCAAGCTCGATAAAAAACCTTTAACCACTTCAGTTCACAAGTTACTGCTGACATAGAACTATATTCGGCCTCTAACGATGATGTAGAAATTGTAGGCTACTTCTTTGTCTTCAATGAAATAGGCCTAGATCACTAGCCATTTTGTCAACAATAGCCGAGTAAGTGGACAAGTATCCCAATTTGAGTCACACCACCCTTGAAGCATTAAATCACTGTATGCCCGTAGCAAGATCCTTTTCCCGAGTGTACCCTTCAAGTATCGTACCACACGCAAGGCCACCTCCCAATGCTCTATACGTGGACGCTACACGAACTGAGACAGAATGTGCACGGAATAAGTAAGATCTGGCCGTGTCACAACAAGGTACACCAATTGCCACACCAATTTAGAATTCTGGCTATTGAACCCGGGGGCAATTTCATGTAAACCTCTTTGTCAAGATCACCATGCCTGTAAGAATGCATTATTCAAATCCATCTGTTTTAATTCCCAATTCTTGCAGACAGCTATTGCTAAGAAAGCTCGGATAGTTGTCATCTTTGACACTGGAGCAAAAGTCTCATTGTAGTAGATGCCTTCGGTTTGATGATTGCCAAAAATCACAATCTAGACTTTAAACATTCAACATCACCATTGGATAAGTACTTTGTCTTACAGACCCATCGTCTGCCAAGTGCTCGTTTACCAGGGCGCAACTCCTCCAAGGTCCAAGTCCCATTATCCTCTAAGGCTCGTACCTCTTCTTGCATTGCTTTCATCCAACTTTCATGCCTCATTTCTTCTTTGAAATATTTTGGATCATTACCCGAAATGACGGCTGCCAAAAAATGACGGTAATTGACAGAAAAATTATCACAATTAATAAAGTGTGTTATAGGATACGAGTACCTGAATTTTGATGTGGAAGCGGTGTAGGTAAATATGGACTTTTGGCAATAAATGTATGAGTAACATAGTCTCGTAAAAGAACCGATGGAGTTTTAACACGAAAACCCCTTCCTAAATCATCTAAACCTGGTGAGGCAGTGTGCTCGACTAACTGCTGGATACCTTGAGACTCGGTAGTGTGCGTGTGTAGGGACAACACAAGATACTATGGCTGGCCCTGCTGCCTTAGCTGAGAAGCGCCTACTTCTGCTACTAATCATGTTGCCTCGGCTACGTAGGCTACCCATGTGGCTGGCCTGCTACCTCGATAGGCTTGGCAGGCTACCCATGTGGCTGGCCTTACTGCCTCGTGTGGGCAGTATGCTGCTACTGCTTGGTGATGGTCGACCAGCGGGCTAGGCAGTGGTAGAGCCTTACTGGTCAGCCAGGCATCCATTTCTCGATGGAGACCCTAGGTGAGTCGTTTCTCTTGCACTATCATCATCCAAAAAATGGCCGTCTACCATGACATCATCATACATAGGCACAACCCTTTCTGACCCAATATTTACCATATTTGCATCAATAAACAGGAAAACATTATTAAAAAATTTTACATCCCTCGACACCAAAAAATCTCGCTTTTCAAGATCATACGAGGACTACCCTTTTTTGCCAAACGGATATCCCAAGGAAACACATTTCCTACTATGACTCTCAAACTTATACCCCTTCGTTTTTTTTATTGTGAGCAAAACATAAGCAACCAAAAGTATTGATGACATTATAGGAGGGAGGAAAGCTAAATAAAATTTCAAAGGGTGTTTTAATTTGTAGCAAATGAGTTGGGGTTCGGTTAATTAAATGTCTAGCAGCAAGAACACTTTTTCCCCAAAAATAAATAGGTAAATGAGCTTGACGAAATCGTAAAGCACGGGCTACATTTAAAATGTGTTTGTGTTTTCGCTCAACTCTACCATTTTGTTGTGGTGTCCCAACACAAGAGGTGTAAAATAAAATGTCGGTTGCGGAAAAATAATCACGTAAACAATTAAATTTCGTACCATTATCACTTTGCACAATTTTTATTGTTTGAGAGAATTGGTGATCAACCATGGCAATAAAACTCATAAAAATATGGAAAACTTCTGTTTATCATCCAACAAATAAACCCATACGACACGAGAATAATCATCAACTATAATTAATAAATAACGAGCTCCACAAGACAAAGGATGCCTATAGGAACCCCACAAATCACAATGTACTTTTTCAAAAGTACGACTAGCTCTACTGTCACTAACCAGAAACTTGTCTCCAGGATGCTTAGCCTTGAAACAAACCTCACAATTTTTATTCAAAGTACCCTTAAAATCAACGACAGGGGGAAGTAACTTTACAACGTTTTCTGATGGATGCCCCATCCTTTTGTGCCATAGCTCCAATGAATTGTTTTCTCCATTCACAAAAATATGTTTCAGTGAGTCAGCTTCTTAAAAGTAGTAATGTCCATCTTGCCTAACTCCCGTTCCAATCTGCATCCCCGTTTGGTCATGTATAGCACACAATGAAGAATTAAATTTTACATCACAATTTAAATCTTCAATAATTAATTGAAACCGAAAGGAAATTGCAACTCAATTATGGGACATATAACACATTTTTAAGAGCAATTGAGGTTGAAAATTGAATCGATCCTTCCTTCTTTGCAAGCACTATTCTTCCATTGGGAATTACATTATTTTTGTTACATCAAACAACCAAGTTTCATCTCCGGTGACATGATGCGTTGCGCCTGTACCAATAATCCACGTTTTGGTATTAAACTTACCATTCAAACGGTTGTCAGGAACATTTTTGTTACCAAAGAATCCCGCAACTGCTTTCCACTGGTCAGGATTATATACTTGATTAGAATAGGTCAAATCTGAAGCTCCATTGCCACTGCTCGAAGCCCCTATATTGCTGCTTCTTGCAGCATTGGCCTTCACAGAGCCACGCCCCTTGCCAGATGCAGTCTCCCTCCCACAGCCAGCACATTCGGTCTTTGGGTGATCAAACCAACCCTCTGGATACCCATGAAGCTCATAGCAACCACTTACACCGTGTTTCTTGCAATGTGAGCACATTGGTTTACTCCAACAACTCGAGGCATCGTGATCGGGTCTCTGACAATTGGCTTCTCGATATTTCGTAAAGGTGGATTTGACCTCCAGATCAATAGTGTTGGTTATCAAAATACCAACATTGCATTAAAGGTGTTCCAATCCGATTGAGTGCAAGGAGGGGTCGAAACCTATTATTGTTCGATAAAAAATTCATATTTCTTTCGTGCTTCCAATGCCATACAGATATTAGCAGCCCAATAGTTATCACCCTTAAGGTGAGTCGGGGTTATAAAATTACTCGGGTTATCTTGTGAACTTAGGTAAAACGGGGAGTTAGGTTCAATTTTTGATGGTGGTGGAGGTGTATCACATGCCATTGCTATAGGATTTTCTTTAAAAAAATTTGGCTCTTGATACCATGAGAAATAATAATCAAGAATAATTATTTGGCCTTCATTCATAGCTCTTGGACGAAATATATAATGGAGTACAACATATTTATGGCAAGAAAATTATCTAATTTACCAAAAATTCTTGTGTGGACCTGGTCCACAATAAAGTTATTGTGGACCTTTAAGTCTCACGTGCGAAACAAACCAAGCTGCAAAAGGAAAGCCCACTGGAATCTCAGCCCAACATACTAACTTCTTTCCCAAGCTTTATTTCGACGCCATGAACAAATTTCCAGAGCTCGAATTTTCTCAAATCAATTCTAGGGTTTATAATTCATCCCCAATCAATCAATTTCTGCAAAATTCATGGAGAATTATTCTATACAATCAATTGAATTGGATCTAAATCAAAATATACAGGACACTATAGAAAACTTTGATATTAATGCCATCAATTTCGATCTGAACGAAGTTCTTGAAGATGGAGAACAAACTACAATTGAAGCTGAGGATGAGAATGAAGTTCAGGAGAAAAATCAACCTCTAATGCAAGATCAAGGTATTATACGATTATGCAATTTGATTTTAGAATTTGATAATGTGAATTTAAGCGATTATGCAATTGCAATTGTATGTTTGGAAAATTAAATTAGGCATTTAGTTATTAATTTGTATTATTGAAACTAGATGTGCGTAATTTCTGT